CTAGAAGGGCTACATTTTTATCATTAGTAAGTGAAAACAAAGAACTTTTAGAAAATGAAAAAGAATATTGCAAGGAAAAATATATTTATGATGAAGAATTAAATTATGCAACATACAAAAATGGTGAACCACATGATTGTAAAAGATGTAATGTAACAAGATACTCTGCTAGATTTTGTGAAAACTGCATTAGCTTACACCTACAAAACCTTTTTAATACTTGGACTTCAAGAAATAAAAATGTTGATGATTTTATTCAAAAATGCCAAAAACTCTCAGCTCTTCCAAAAAATATAATGGAATGGATTCCATTTGATCAATTTGAAGATATTAAATATTTAGCTAAAGGAGGATTTGGTAGTATTCATATGGCAGGATGGACAAGAGGATATATAAATGATTATGATGAAGACAAAAAAAAATTTAGTTATTTTGGACCTCAGTTAGTAGTTTTAAAATGTTTAGATAATTCAAATAACATTGGAAATAATTTTTTTGATGAGGTCAGTAGTAATTTCATTTAAAACACAAATAAATAATTTTTATATTATAATATAATATTAGATTAATTGAGTTTATCTATATTTTCAGGCATTGAATTATTGTAAAATTAAATCAGGAATGATTGTTAGATGCCATGGTATAACTAAATTTCCAGATAATGGAAATTATGCAATGGTACTAAATTATAGGTCAGAAGGAAATTTAAGAGATTATTTACAAAAAAATCATTTAAAATTAATATTAAAAGATAGAATTACAATTTTTTCCTATTTATGTAATTCATTAAATGATATACATGATAAAGATTTAATTCATTGTGATTTACATAGTGGTAATATACTAGTACAAGGTGGTTGTTGTTATATTACAGATTTAGGATTATGTGGGCCAGTTGATGATAAATCATCAAATAAAATTTATGGGATCATGCCATATATTGCACCTGAAATTTTTCAAGGGGGGAAAAATACAAAAGAATCAGATATTTACAGCATTGGAATGTTAATGTGGGAAATATTTTCTGGTCATCCACCATTTGATAATAGACCTCATGATATAGATTTAGTTTATAATATTTATGATGGACTAAGACCAAAAAATTTGTTGAATATGCCAGAAGATTATAAACAAATGATGCAAAAGTGTTGGGATGTTGATCCATCTAAAAGACCAACTATTTTGGAGCTTTGGAAATTTGCTGAAAATTGTTTAAGTAAAATATATAAAAATGAAGTTTCAAATAACAGTGATAGCAGTGCTGGTGATGATGATGATGGTGATAATGATGTTAGTGGTGGCAGTAATAATATTAACAACAATAATAACAATGATAAAAACATCATCAACAACATTAATAATATAATCAAAAAATTAATTAAATTAAAGTTTGTAAATTTTATTAAAAGAAAAAAATATATGCCTGACAGCAATAATGATAATAATATTAAAAATGATAATTCCATTGATGATAATAATGGTGATGATTCACAATTGAAAAAATATGAATCACATCCACAAGCATATAATACAAGTAGAATATTCAATATTATTAATCCTAAGTCAAATAGTATTAATAATAATAGTAATTCTAGTTATGGAACTTCAGTATATGAACCTAGAATTCCATCAATATTTGAACAAAGTACTGGAATCAATATTATTACTAATGGTAAATATTAATAATATCAATCCTGATTAATTGATTAATTATTGTTTGTTATATTTATTATTTAAATATATATTTTTTTCTAATTAGTGGAAATACAATTCATGAAGATGCTGAAAATGTCATTGTAAGTGGTGAAATTGAAAAGATTAATGAAGTTGATGAAAATATTTGAAGGGAGAGGATGAGTTAATAAATAAGATTTAAATTTATAAAATGAATTTTTAAGATCTGGGATTCAACATAATCATTTGGCTTTTACCAAATTTCATTTTTAAAGGTTTAGGTACATTTCCAATTATTTATTAGAATGTTAGAAATTGTAGTTTCACTTTTAAACTTTATAGCATTGATTTATTAATTTGAATATTTTATCTCCATCTGTTATATTATAATGTATTTAATTTAATATGTAACAATTTAGTGCAGCCATTAAATATAAATCTTAGCTTCATTATAGTAGAATATCCTGGATTTACACAATTTTGTTAATACTAAAGTTTCCAAGTTGTGAAATACAACTTTGAGTTTTTATTATTATGCCATGTTTAGTTATTTGTGATGGTTCATAAGTGTAAATAATTGAAGGTTGACCAAACCATTAAAATTGTTAAAAAAGGTAAATAAGAGATAATGATTTAAAAATCTTGAAGTCATTTATTTGTTGATGCTGCTAAAATAATAAGTGGTGGTTCTTGTCCAACACTGAGTATTGATTAATAATTTGGCTAGAAAATTAAATAAAGCATTAACACAAAATCAAAATTGATGAAGTTAAAGACAGACTCAAAGAATTGGATTTTTTAAAAATAACAAAAAAAAGAAACATATAATTTTAATTTTAATAGAATAGAGGAAATTCCTGGCTCTTCTCAAAAGTTAGCTTGTCATTGTTTTTCGATGATAATCAAATAGAAGGAAGGTAAATATATAATTTTTTTGATATAAAACGGTTAACAATTTTATTAGCTAACTTACATTATTTTAATTGTTCATAATATTAACTACAAACACGTAAAACAAGATAAAATCAGAGATCCACTTGTTTGGTGAAGTCAAAAAAAGGAATTTTACCAAATCTTGCTTGCAAACAAGAATTACTTGGCAATACGGGCAGGCTCTGTATCATATGAGAGGTTGTTTTCATCAGCAGGGAATTTGTTTACAAAAAAAAAAAATTGACTTAGGTAAAAGGAATAAACTATTATTTTTTTAATGAATATATATATTGTTTGTCAACTTTCTTAGCCGGCCAAGGGTTTTCTACCGGCTGACATCACTAGTAAACACCCATTAGCCATCCATTTTTTAATGTTCTTGTGTTCCACGTCTTTGTAAACCATTAATATTTTTATTATTATATGCGCTTAACTTGATTCTAATTTACAAAATAAAAATAAACAGTATTAAATCAGAGACCAGAAAATATCAATTATATTTAATATACATACTCGGACTTGAATTTGGTTCCTTTTATCAGTAATGATTATATTTATCTATAGTATTTTTTTGTGCGCGGTTGGATGATTTTTAGACAATGTAGTATTAGTATCGAGTATTAGTATTATTTAAAAATCTCGATTAAGATAATTATTAAAAATAATAACGACTATTTTAGCATTAGATGATGACCTCATCTACTTTCTGATGAACACAACGTATAAAATGAAAAGAGCGAAATTGGTTATTTTCAATGATATTTTGGTGAAGCCCCCACAAAAGATATTTTTTACGCAAACATTGATATCAATTTGAGCAATATAAAAAAGAATGGAGAGCACAAAAATATATTTAGATGAGGAAATTTATGAATCCAAGAATTTTTTTAATCACCAAAGAATCATTTAACGAACCTCAGAATTTCATCTTATTTCGATTTCTTTATTAAAAATATGATAGAAATGATTTCCGCTATTTCCGCTAAAAATGCAAACACTGCTGCAGCTGTTATGTCATTTATCTCATTCCTGTGTCTTTTATTAGCGAACTTGGGGACACCAATTATCATGTCAATCTATATTACGAGTTATGAGAATGTTGGTGGTCTAAAGGACATTAATATGATATTTGGAGTATACGGCGAGTGTGCGCAAAATAAAAATTCAATCATTTTTTATTCATATGTATGCGCGAATAGTAATCTTAAAAGTTCGGGACGTCCCTAGCGGTAGAAAATTTTTGTTGATTATGCATGCCATTGGTAACGTGTTTACTTATTAATTATATCATTAAAGTGTGAAAATATATTATATATACATAATAATATTTTAGGCGTAATAACATCATTCATATTGTTTTGCATTGGCATTTATGCACGTAGTCAAATTATGAAGAAAAGAGTGACAGGGGTCTTTGCATTATTCAGTTTCTTTATTATTTTGTTAGCACTGGGAGGACAAATTGACGTGGTTTTTACCTCCAAAATTGGTTTAGTGAACCCCATTTAGTCTAGGCAATGCAAAATTAAAGATTGGGGTAGTGCAATTAGTCTTGTGATTATACCCCTCGTACTCTCACCCTTGTCAGTTTTTGCATTTTTACATTGGAGATCGAGCTGTAAGTGAAGGAGGTGGTGACATCAATGGTTCCAAAAATATGAGCACAACAATGACCAGCCAGCAGCAACATGTTCCTCAACAATCTCCACAATTTCCACAAACCCTCAATATTATCAATATAATAATGATACTCAAATCCATATTCAAAATCCACAATCTCCACAATTTCCACAAACCTATTCAACCCCTCAACCCGTTATTTAATTTTATTTTTTTTAACCCAATGTATCATCAATTTAATTTTCGTGTTAACATTAATTAGTAATTTTGATAATTATTAAGATTAATAACACTGTATAAACATCAATTTACATTATTAATAATTATGACTCTGCATCACCTTCACAAACTTGATCATTATTGTGATCTGTGAATGAATCGGAGCATCTTATGTAGTTGCTGTATAAAAGCTAAATCCGATAAATATGGTTTCTATTATTGATTCAATTTATAAATTTGAATTTGAATTTCAACATATAAAGAAAGTGTGTAAATACACATTCCGTCAACTTTGTTATGCTCAAAAGGTATCCACTCGAAATCTGAGTTGGGATATAATAAATTATCAACTATAATATTTTCAAATGTCCAAGTATTGAAAAAACTCTGCAAGTGTAATATGTCAGAGTATCTTGTTGATTTATACTTTTGATTTACCCAAGACTGGATGGAGCCGTAAACATTCATTCAACATTCCCAAGATACTTTTCTTCAGCCTTACATTTTTATAAAAAGTAAATTAGTCAATATCATAAACAATATACCAAACACTCTCCTAATTGGATTAATAGGTAAACGAAATGAACCGAGATTTTTGTATACTTATTATACTACTTTATGCCTTATCTGTTTCTTTACAATAAGGTATTCCCATGTCTTCACTTGTTCCTTCCAATCACCCACCATTCTTAACCTCCGACTTCTTTCTTCTTCAAGTTCCTCTCTTTTACCCTTGTAATTTTTAGTCTTTAATTTCCTCTTCAACTGGCCCAATTTCTACAACTTCTCAGTACCCTCAAACTTTTCTGATTTTTCAACAAATCAATATATAATTCCAACCTAAACTTCCTTTGTGATATTAATCAAAGCAAAACGTGTATGGTTTCTAAACAAAAATGCTTTTCGTAATGAGATGATACATATGGAAATGTTCTTAATAACTTTTATTTTATCCCGATTTAAAACCAATTTAGTGACAGTTTATTTATTATTAAGGGGTTTCACTTTGAAACTGTCACTTATATATATCATTACGAGGATTTTAAATTAATTGGTGGAATTTGAAATTTAAAAAAAATTTTTTTTGGAAAGAAATTAATTAAATCGACAATTGCTCACTAATGCCTGTCTGTATTATTTAATCAAATTTTTGGCATTTTTATGTGGAAAATAAATTTATAACTTGAAGAATATGAATAAATGAAAACGTATATAGATAGAGAAAAAGGTGTATGTATGTAAGTGATTTAATATTGATAAGTTTAAACATTAGCAGATATTTAAATACAAACTATTACCGTTAAATTTTATTATATTTCTTGATGATATAGTAATATACAAATAGAAATGTTATTACAGGAATTAATGTTCTTTGTATCAGAAAACCACTGTAAGTCCAATTTGTGACCTAATAACAGATAAATGAAAACTCACAATATTTACAATAAACAATAAACGATGCGATTTAAATTTGGGAATTTTGTTGACTATGAATGGAAGATGTCAATGATTCATTTGTAAGGCATCAGTGACACATACACCACGTGTTCCTTTCATATTTTTGTTTGAGAACACGTGGCTATGACTCGCTTGACGTTTCGGCGCTATTTTCTACCATCAACTCAATTATTTGTCAATTCAGAAATAAACCTTTAATCGCGATTATCTTCTATGGTAAATGATCCGGTGGCGTAGAATCAGAAAGAATTGTTACGAAATAGAATTAGCCAAAATTTTTTAAATTACCAAGATAACGTATATAATAAATGTGAGATGAACATTGTACATTGTATGATCTAGAACGTTTCTTTCTTTAAATGTACTGATAACTAGCTGTATTCCTGCCGAAGTCATCGGATACGAAGATCTATTTTTAGTTTATATTACAAAGTGATGGATTGTTATCATTGTATTAGATGTTACGCGATCATTCATTGCTTCATTTACGCATCACCGCCAATTAGGAAATGATAGAAATTGCAATAATTTATTTATGAAATTCTCGGAGTACAAGGTAAATTATGGTTGATTGGATGATGAAACAAATGAATTGATGTACATTTGACAATTTATTAATTGTGTTGATTTATAATTATTTTTTCGTCGTAACTTGGTTAAACATTAGTGGAATAATTTAATGTTCATACTAATTAACTTTATGTCCAAAATAAAAAGGAATTATTAATGATATTCCATGTTATACTAAATATATACTTTGGTATGATGCATGAGGATGCAGCTATAACTCTTCTTTTGGAAATTTTGAGAAAGGATATATGTGTGCGCGCTTGGCGCAAAAAAAAAATTTTTTTTTTTTTTACGCAAAAGATTGTTGGTTTTATTTATAGTTTAATAATTTCCTCGTGATATGAAAACCTTGCCATCTTTTTAAATTTATTAAATTCATTTAGCCTTTATTTTGGTATTGTGCGTTGGTTGTAAGCAAACTTTTATTTCATTCAACATCTTAAACCGTTGAAGAATGAATCAACTCCTCGATCTTATCATCAATGAAAATAGTAGTTAGGATGTTGCGGATCGTTTCTGTTACTGATATTCGTAATCGAGACGATCACGAAATGAATTTGATATTAGATATATTCAAATATATTAATGCTCAATTTAGAAAGAATATTAATACCGAAATATAAATAGTCATTATTAATCATCAAATAGAATTCATGACAAATGCAACGGAACTTGGTTGGTAAACGCGAACGACGGCTAAATTATACCACATAGTGATAATGGTTAATATGGTTATATGTGTAATTGTAACTTTTCCGCAGAGCAAAATAAATAATTAATAAATTGATGGAATTATTCGTTATTCGTTATTTTCAAAAAAAAAAGAAAAAAAATTCTTTTTTTTTTCACTATTCAATAAAGTTAATAATGTCATTTGAAAAATTATTATCACTAGAAAGAAGAGGGCTTGTGTATAAAATACATAACGAAATGTATAATGATGCTTTATTGAATTCTGAAATAAAAAATAAAAAAAAAGATTTTTTCTTATTAGTCAAAAAAAATAAGAAACTTTCTGAAAATGAAAAGCAGTATTGTAAAGAAAAATTTATTTATGATATTGAATTAAACAATGCTGTTTATGAATTGGGTGTACCAAAAAGATGCAGAAAGTGTAGATCAATAAGATATTCTGACAGATTCTGTGAAGGTTGTATCAGCCTACAACTACAGAACCTTTTTGACACCTGGACATCCGGTAATTATTTGGTTGATGAGTTCATTCAAAAATGTCATATGACTTCAGCTTTGCCAAGACATATTTTAGAATGGATACCTTATAATGATTTTCTAAAAGTCACAAAATTAACAGAGGGTGGGTTTAGTTCAATTTATACGGCCACTTGGACAAGAGGAACTATTAATGATTATAATGAGGCGAGGAAAGAATTTAGTTATTTTGGACCACAACGTGTAGTCTTGAAGTCTTTAAATGGTTCGAATAATCCAGGAAAAGATTTTTTTCGTGAGGTTGGTAGCTTTTATTTAAACAAAAATAAATAATATTGTATTTATATAACATTAGTATTAATTGATTTTATATATTTAATTACAGGCAATGAATTATTGTAAAATTAAATCAGAATTGATTGTTACTTGCTATGGTATAACAAAATTCCCACATAATGGAAATTATGCGATGGTTCTTAATTATCATCCAGAAGGAAATTTAAAAGACTATTTACAAACAAATCATTCAAAATTAACATTAAAAGACAGAATCACACTCTTTAGATATTTATGTGGTGCTTTATGTTATATACACGAAAAAGATTTAATACATTGCGATTTACATAGTGGGAATATATTAATGTATGGAGGTGGTTGTTATATCACAGATTTAGGATTGTGTGGACCAGTGGATGAGGAATCATCAAATACAATATATGGGATTGTACCATATCTCGCACCTGAACTACTCAGAGGCAACAGCGATGCAAAAAATACTAAAAAATCTGATATTTATAGTATGGGGATGTTACTGTGGGAAATATTTGCAGGTCATCCACCATTTGATGATAGATCTCATAATCACCATTTAATTTATGATATATGTAGAGGTTTACAACCACCAATATTACCCGGAATGCCTGATGATTATGTAGAAATGATGGAGAGGTGTTGGGATATGGATCCATCAAACAGGCCAATTATCGAGGAGCTTTTGGAATTTGCTGATGACAAATTAGCAGAATTGCCTAAAAATAAAAATTCGAATAATTTTATAAAAAGATTATTCAAATTTTCCAAAATTACAAAACAAGGTGGCAGCAATAGCAATGGTGTTAATGATTCTCAACAAGTATACAAATCACATCCATATGCATACCATACAAGTAGGATACTAAACGACGAAATTTCTAAAT